GTTTACTTTAAAAAAAAAATTGTAAAAAACTACTAAAACGTTGCTGATGTATATTATAATTTTAGAAAATACCACAATATTTATTAATTTTGAAAGTTTATTATATTTATTATTTAAAAATAAAATAAGATTTCGATAATTAATTATGATAATTAATTATAAAAATAAAATATAAAATTAGTTAAATACAATACAAATATCCACAATAGAACTGTGAATAATAATTTTCTATAAATATTCCATTTGTTCAAAAATTAAAAATCTACCAAAATATTAATATAAAAACACTTATGTTAAAAAATATACTAAAATCATTTTTATAATGAATTCTAGATTTATATTTTGTACATAATACGGCGTATGACAGCCGAAAGTTGCAATATCATCAAATGTATACATATTTTTAATTAAAAATGTTTAATACCTTTGATATACGTATAGACATTATATTTTATTGAAGTAGTTCTGTCAATATATTGTAATACGCTCTATACATAAAAACACTATTTTTTTCTCTTCCCTTTCATCTCTCAACACACACAAAGATTCTATCCAAAAACACAATATTTCTAACAATAAATACAAAACACAATCATTATTTTCTATTCTTAATCACAGCCAAGCACATAGTTGACACGATCACGTATTATGCATCCGCTCTTTTCACTGCACGTACACCCTTCAACAATCAAATGTTACTATTTATTATTTTTAGTAAAAGAACCTTTTTTTCACTGTATAAACAAAATACAGCCTCGAAAAATCTGAAATGTACGCGTAATGTGATTTTTCAGAGTAGCCAATATACAACAGGTCAAAATAATTCTGTTGCTCTTGGTCGGTGACTCATAGCGGATACACCGATCACTTCATCTTTACTTTATCCTGTTCCAAGCCATACACGTTGATCTTTCAATGTTGACAGACACATTAGGGTTGTGTCGCTCAAATATTTTAATTTGTGACAAAGGTGTGGGGAACGTCAATCCCGTGAAATCATACCTTTGTTCCTCGTTAAAATATTTTTGATCAACGCGATTTTTGTGATCTATCTTTACGTGTCTCACAAAAATGGACCACTTGAAACAAGACTGATCGATATTCTGTGGTTTAATGATTGCTTTTCTCTTATTAATTTCGGCGGAATCGGAATATATGATGAGCCGGTGAGGGGCGTATACTTGTATACGCTGAGCATAATGTCGTCGATATGCGATAAAGTAAAGCCGCTATTCCTTCCCGAGTACGTGTCTTCCTCTGCGAGCATAACCTCAGTTCTTCAACGACTGTACACTCGATTTCTGTATTGTCATAATATGCTAAATTCTTTGCATTACGCATCTTACAATTATCAATGAAAAATGTATAATCTGTATTTTAAATAACTTGTAAACAATTAAATAATTTATCTGTCATTACAAATACGATGTTCAACACAATTTCTTATTAATTATATATATGCCAATTTATCAATTGTTAAATATGCTATCACAATATAATAATCATGTAATGTATAATTAAATACAATAAACTAAAAATATCACTAAAAGCGATGACAACAATATCTCTGAATTGGTGGTACTATCATTTTACTATAAAAAAGCACTGAAATCTTTTCAGATGAAGGAGTGAGTGACAAGAGTTTGCTTTTACCGAATTCAAATAAGAATAAAAAAGAAACGATTATCAGTCACAGACCTGTGTTGTAGTTGGCTGACTTTTACGCGTTTTATTTTCAAAAAGATAAATGTATTTTAAAACTTTAATTAAACACGTACGTTACAGGATACAGAGCGTTGAAATGGTTATATAATAAAGAATAAGGCTTGTAAAACAACAACGTTGTCATTTTTCTCATAAAATTCATACGACAGTGATTGTTAACGTACGGTGATACCTTTGATGTTTGAAATATGCTTACCTAAGAGTCTCGTAGTTGATGACAAGATTCGTAGAAGTGATTTGTTCATTTGATATTAGAAATATACTGTAACGTGACAAAATGTGAATTTTATGATATTGATAGATTAATGTTTTGCTTTGCTAATGGGCGCGCGTACGTTATATCCGGCCGTGTAATCAGAAAACTGTACTGTTGCTGTCAAGGTGAACGCTATACACATAATATTCTTTATCAGTTTAACAATCGTTCCCTATATGACACATACACTGGCCACCACTGTCCATACCTGTATAACTCTAATATTGTTCATATTTTTATCTGTTGTAAATTTTGTAAATCGTTAAGCCGATACCCTCTCCCAAACGGGTTCGTCGTCGTTGTGTCTCGCCCGGTGTGTAGAAATTTTTTCGTAAGCTCTCTTCCCTTAGAACCACCGTCGTGGTCTGTTTTGCTGTGTGCGTGCAGCCAATTATCGTTTTTTTTCTCGTGTTCGTTTATAAATATAATGTATTAATTCCGCAAGGCGTCGGCCATTTCCGGGGCCGAGATCCCCATCTTAGGATGAGTCCCATCCGGGACTGGGTATCGTATTGTTGATTTTTCTTTTATTTATTTAATATAATGTATTGAGCCTTTCTTTTTTCTTTTTTTTTTCTGTCATAAAATTATTTTTTTTATGATAGATAAATCATTTTAGCGTTTGTTGTTATAAGGTTATTGGTCAGTGGTGTGTCATGTATATTTAACATATATATATATATATTATTCCCGCAGTACCCAAGTACGGTCCGGCCGGCCAGATTACAAAAATTATCCGCCGCGCCCGGAGTACACGGACTTGTTCCGATGCGGAAGACACTTCACGTGTAATATTTAAAAGTTGTAGGTTAATTTTTTTTGTCTTAATAATTGTTTTTTTTTTTTTTTTTTCTTTTGTCCCTTTATTTGCAGAGTGGTTTTTGCCTTCGGGTTTTGTCCACTATTAACTTAATTGTCATAATTTAATAAAGTCCCCTTAATTTTTTTTAATCAACAAAAATCTTTTTATTGCGTGAATATCTTCAATATTCACGTGTATCTTATTTTTTTTTTCCTTTAAATCATATTTCTCTAGTTTTAAGGTAACGGTCTTCGACATACTAAAGTATGTCCACCACTGGTGACATCAAACCAACATATTGGTTATATATTTACAAGGTATCAGCGTATTATAGTCTACAACAACACTTTATATTTTTAGTATATATTTATATATCAATAATTTTTTTTAATTCACTTTATCTCATCAAAATGCATATTTTTGGTTTTCTTATTATTTTTTTTCAATTTTTTTTATTAAATCCACTTATGGTCCGGGTGTTGTTCTTTTCTGATCAAGACCCTCGCCTAAGTGGTTGGCGACCCATTTTCCTTTTTGCAAGGGAGCCATGAGGGTGGCGACTCCACAATCCGTTGCGTGGCCAAAGTCGTCACCTNTTCCACAATCCGTTGCGTGGCCCAAGTCGTCACCTCTCAATACTTACTTAAACGTAATCGATGATAAAACTCTTTTATTATTTAGACGTACATTTTAATGAAAAACGGGAAATGTCAAGGCGTACAAAAACACAGGGTAGTACAGTATTTACTCTAAGACCATTCCATTTACCCTATCTACTGATCCACTAAGTAGGTACGATTATCCATCATACCTAAAATTTGAAAGGAAAGCTTGAGTACTCATCATTAGACTACAGGTATATAGACGAAGGGTTAATATCCTCTTCACTAGACTATAGGTCAGTTTACATGTATTTTTCATTTACCCCATCTATGAGTAGATTTAAAATACAAAATAGGAAAAAAATAATTAAAAAATTAATAGATAACATCAACAGTGATGAAACACTCTTTGTAAGTATAATTGATGCGATAGGAATTTCTGAAGAAGCTTAGAGAAATTTAATTCCGCAGAGATAAAGAAAGTGATTTATAAAATCTATTTTTAAGGATACTGTTAGTGGCAGATAATTAGATAACTCAATAATAACTAAATTATAATTTAATTTTAATAAATAGAATTTTGTTGCTGATCCTCTTAACTGGGACGATAATAATTTTACACATTATGTGGAAATGGATAAAAATGTATACGTATGTAGAACATGAACGAATCACAATATTTTCTATATACTACCGAATGTACTGATAGCAGCGAGTGTAAACAGCAAGTTTTGTTTAAAACCACAACAAATTGAAGAAATAGTAATTAATTAAATACAGCAAGCCATTTTACGAGTTCATTATTCAAAAACTTGTTAAATAAATACAAAATCAATCGATGAACCAATAACCTAAATTGTATTATACGGTGTATAATTTAGTATATTTTATTTTAATTTATTTTAGTTTAAGTAAAACGTATAAAATATTGTAATAATAGAGGTGTTTGAACAAATGCTTAACAATATAAATAGTGATTGCTTAATTGTGACGAAATATCTCTAGATGTATAAACATAATATCTCAGCTTCGCATCGAAGCTAAAAAAGTAATGTTGTCTTACCCTCCTCCTTCATTCTAAAAACGTGTTAAAATTAATTTTTAATAGAAACATATGTATTAAAAAAAAAATTAAAGGTTTATAACAACTTTTGTATCAGCACATTAAAGTACACCAAAATATATTTAAAATTTAAAAAATGCTTGTTAGAATTTTTATACCTGAGCACGAATAATTTAAAATGTCGGTTTATAAATGCCTAGATATAAAAATAAACAGTTTCAGAAATTCCAAAATACTGGTTTGAAACTTATTAACGGCTGGTTATTTGGTTAGTGAGATCATTACTTATTCTAATTTTTAATCTGGTTAAACATATAATAATTCTATTATAATATGATAAAATTTTAAAAGAGAAATGGAATAGAACAAAACTTTTTTTTTTGAAAATTATAGAATGTGTAGGATATTATTAACTTCTGAAATGTAAAAAATTATACATGAAAAGATATTTCATATGTTATGGATTAATAGTTACTATGTATATATCAATAATATAGGGAATTAATAATTCAATTTTTTTTGTTTACTTATTAAATTTTATTTAATAAAAATTTGTTATAAAGACAATTATTTTTGATACGATATTTGTACGAAGAAAATTGTAGAACTATAGAACAAAATAAAAAGCAAAAAAAGGAAAAATGGTTTGTACATAGTAATGTTATACTAAGTTATTAAGAATTCATTGTAGTTGTAATTATGATTTCATTATTTTACAGAATTATCCAGTCTTGTTCAGTTTATGTTTAGTTTTTTTTGCTGGTAATAAATATTTTTAATAAAAATAAAAAAAGACAAAGAAATATTATAATCTTTTTTTTTTTTTTGACGTAAAAAAAATGTAGTTTTTGTAGCAATAGAAATACGGTTTCAGATTTTGTAACATTTAAGTATATTTTTAAAAGAATTTTACCTTGTCTCTTAAACAACGCTATTACTAGAAATTTTTAATTTAGTTATGACTAAATTATTAATTTTAAATTATATTTATGACTATTGAAATGTTGAATTTATCTTTTACGAACAAATTTTATACGTCCTAATATGATTTTAAAAAATGGAATGTGGTCTTAATAAATATTGTTCTAATTAAACCTATCGTTGAACGATATGGTAGAATAAATGATAATATTTTACAAATTTATATAAATCTATTTATTGTAATAAACAAAAAAAAAGATAATAGGCTAATGGTAAAGATGGTATTAATGAAATCGTATCTCAGGGTATAACTATATTTATTTATTAAATAATAAAATATCCCTACCTCATTTATTCCTATTTTTGTTTATTACGTGATTATTTTAGAAGTAAGACATGCAAATAAATATTCGCACTTACCTTTATTTCCTTTAGTAATTGATTGAGTTGGTTTTATGGTGATTTCTTCTTTCAGTGTTAACTGTCGTTTATACTGTTTGCGTTTATTTCGATAAATTAGTATCTCTGTGTATATAAGACTTAGAAAAAGGATTCTCTATAATGGGACCTGCGTCTATTATAATTTGTTACCCCTGTTTTTTTATTTATTTTCTTTAAATTCCTATTATATTATACTATGTTATTACTAATAATATTTGCGATGAATTCCCTACAGTCGATATCGATATTCTTAAAATTTACTCTGAACTAGTCAAAATATAATTATAAGAATATGTCTATCTATATTCAAAATATAATTAACAAGACTGTGGTGGCCCAGCGTTTCTCAGCGTAAAGCCTTGGCTGGCGCGGACACAGTTACCTCGCTAATATATTTTAAATATTATTTCAATACATCTTCTACTATCCTTTACGTCAACTGCCTACACGTTACCGAAAGGTAATTGGCATAGTCCTTTATGGCTGGCGGGTACACACGCAGAGAATATTTCCAAGATGTAGTTTCCTATCTTACGGACTATATATTTTATGATGAACTCTACCCGGACTACTAGCTCTAGAACTGGCTTGTCGACGGATATAGCGCACTTCAAAAATACTCTTTTTATAAGTTTAGTACTACTCTGTACCTCAACTGCCTACACGTTACCGAAAGGTAATTGGCATAGTCCCTTAAGGCTGGCGGGTACACAGGCATAAAGTACTACTACTAAAACTAGTTAATTCTAATCACAAATTATGCTTCTTCATTTAGTTCGGCACATTTAAGGCTGTTCATAAATGTAGGGCACAATAAGCTTTATTATGAATATACGATAATGTATAAGGCTATTATGCCTGTATAAATAAAATTACGCTTCTTCACTCTTTTCGGCACATTTGAGGCTGTCCAGAAATGAAGGGCACAATAATATTTAAAACCTTTATATATAAATAGATATAATGTATATTTGTCGTGAGAACATTAGGTGATAATAAAATAAATAAAAACTTGTTCCTGTGTAAAATATTAATAAATCATCTAAGACAATGTTCACCACTTAGGATGATACATAAAAAAAAACACAGGGTCACAGGGATAAAATATTTACTTATACTGACGCAGATTCCATGTAAGAGAATATTTAGAAGAGAGGTCGTCCGAAGCCGTCAGAGGTCCCAGAAAAAACGAGACGAGAGCAGGAGCAGCCCTTTTTACGAGAAAAAATGGCTTTTTATACGCTGGATGAAGTAAGCCAGCGATCTCTATTGAAATTCCTAAGATGTTGGATAATTATTTGTGATTGGTTAATTGTGATAGAAACCCTGCCGTGGGCGTAGTTAATGAATTGTAGGGGACTGGTTTGAAACATGTGTTGATAAATAGTTATTTTTATTACCCTAAAAGGGAAACATTCCTTAGATGATTTTTGGCTTTATTCATATACATGTGATATTTAGTACATGTGTTAATAATTATACTACATTATACAGAGTGACTTTTTTATCATAACCAACTCAATTACATACATAATAAATATATTTAAAAATTTTGTTTTTGGTTATCTTTAGTTACGTATTATTCTTGAATTATTAACTATGTCATACTTTTGAAGTTCATCCCTCATGCCTTGTAAGGGCATCATCTTTATTTTTTTAAATGGAAATACATATTTTTAATTTAATAAAATGTTTGAGTTTTTAATTTAATAGTAAATGGCATTTGAATTTTTAATATCATTTTATTTGTTTATTAGATATAAACTTTCAAAGTTTCAATTTTTTGAGTTAATATACATGTATAATATACAAAGGATAACAAATACAGGTAGCTAAATGGTTTTTATGACATCGCTGTCACAGTCACGGATTGTTTATTATCAATTATGACTATCATTAGATATACTTTTTAAATAGTCAGTTAGTGTATTTATGAACTCACAACATTGTGCCTTACTATCATTGATAATACCAATGCTGTGTACCTGTGTATATTGATGTCATAAAAAACCAATTAGCTATCTGTATTTGTAATTCCTTGTGTATTATACATGTATATTAACTCAAAAATTTGAAACTTAAATCTAATAAACGAATATAGTTACATTAAAAATTCAAATACCATTTACTATTAAATTAAAAACTCGAACATTTTTTTAAATTAAAAATATGTATTTCCATTTAAAAAAACATAGCTTACGCTCTTACATGACATAAGGGATGAACTTAAAAAGTATGACATAGTTAATAATTCAAGAATAATGCGTAACTATAGATAAACAAAAAAAAAATGTTTAAACATATTTGTTTGGAAATAGTTGAATGGGTTCTGATAAAAAAATCACCCTGTATATTTGTATATATATTGATGTGTTTTAAAAGCATATGGTATTCCATTCAATGAACAAAATGAAGAACGTAAGTTAAAACTTAGTGTACCCTACTTGAAAAGAAAATATATTTTTATATATTTATAACTTAAAGGGGTGTCAACTTTATTTTTTCAAATGGAGACGGACATAATTTACTAGCTTATTTAATGATAATGACTTAATTCATAAAATAACTGGTTAATAACATCTTTCAGAACAATATTTCATTAGCTATTAACAAATTAAAATTCTGACGAAAGATGCGGTTTGAGTGCAGCTATTTTTAGTATCAGTGATTTCTCGGTCTTACTCCCCCACTTAGCAAATATTACAAATGAGAATAATATCCGTAGTACTAATCCAAAAGTTTTTATCAACCAATCATTTTCGAAGTGTAAAATTATATATTAAATAAGCTAGTAAATTAAGTACGTTTTGTTTGAAAAAAATTAAGTTGTTATTTCTATAAGTTATTTAGCATGATTTTAAAAAGTTATGTATTAAATATTAATAAAAAAAATTTATTTATAAATATAAATAAAAAATTAACTTAAATAAAAAAAAATAAAAAATTGTTTTTATTATTATATTTATTTTGTGAATTATAAATTAGTTTGATAAGCCCATCACTCGATATATATTATTTTTATTGTAAGCAGATAGTATCCCAGTCGATAACCAAAATGAAATAAGTAATTTAAAAATATATCGAATTATATTTATTAGGAATAGAAGATCTATTTTGTTATTTAATAAGCATTGGTGGTGCGGCGTATATCTCTTTTGTTGTTAATCATTCGTAAACTGATATAAACTATAACTAGAACAGTTATAAATTTCGTATCATTTATATATTACGATTTATTTATAGATGTTGTGTTGATGTAACACTAGGGTGGTCCTTATTTCTTCGAATTTCGAAATTTCTTTCGGGACACCCCTCAATTTTTTTCTTTAGTATAAAAAAATAATATTCTGAAAATTTAAAATCATTTGGAAAATTTAAATCGAGGCGCACAGCATTTTAAGGTTTTGACCTCGAATTTTCGATGAATATTCTATAAAACGATAAAAAAAACTTATATGAAAGGTTTTCAATAAAAGTCAAGATACAAAAAAAAACCTTATTTAAAAACAAATAATTTGATATATATTATTATTAAAAATTTATTGAATTTTTTACATGCGATAACAATATATTGATAATTTAATAATAATTAAACATCTTAATTTTTATACTTCGCTACTTTAATAGTTTCAACGCTCCATTATAACCTTTTCAAATGTTTATACTGACTTGAATATAAATTAATTAAGTTATTAAGTTGAATTTTATAGCACTGAACTAGTATTAGTTGAAATAAATCATAAAAAAATGAAATAAAATTTAAAAATAGTTTTAAATTAAAAAAAAACAAATTTTGCTCTACTAAATTGATTTATCTTTAATTTTATATATTTTTTTTTTTTTTTTTTNGAAATAAATCATAAAAAATGAAATAAAATTTAAAAATAGCTTTAAATTAAAAAAAAAAATTTTTGCTCTACTAAATTTGTTTATCTTTAATTTTATATATCTTTTTGTTTTTTTTTTAAATTTAATTATTTTATTATTTATAGTATTTCTTTAGTACCACGAGTGACTTTTCTTTAAATCAATTTTAGTTTTATAATATTCAATCAACACATGACCATTTTCGCATTTAATCATAGACAAGATCGATAAATGTTTATCTTATCTTGTGTTGTATTAGTATAAAATCTATAATTATAGAGGTTTACCTATAACCATGATATGTTAAAGGTAATATTTTAAAATTATCATCATTCTAGTCGAATTTTATTCTATGTAGAACAGCAAGCTACTGGGTCAATCCATGCCAAATCATCCAGAAGTGGTTGCACGACCACCTCATATTTTTCTTAAATTTTCAGGGNTTTCGAAATATGAATTTCATAATAATTTTTTTCATTAAAACTATTATATTTTTCAATGATTAATATTCATGTTTCTTAGAGAAAAGTAATTAAGAATCACGTGAGCCAGCGTTGTTTATCGTAGATATTTCTTAAAAAATTTTTATTCTTGAGACATTTTTTTCTTATAATACAATTTAATTAATTTTAATTATTGTAATATGCAACAAACAATACAAAATATATGATATAATAAAAAATAATCTTATTAAAACTATTATTGAACGATTTGTATTTTAAAGCATATGATATTCAAGGGGATAACCAAAATGAATACGGTAAGTATTTTTATATTACGATTTGTTTATATATGTTGTGTCATTGTAATACACAATACGGTATGCATTATATAATAAATACTGCTCTAATTAAATCTATAATTGTAAGATAGGATAATATAAATTATAATATATCACATTATAATATATAGTAAACAGTTACCAATTTGGAATCATTGATATAAAACAATTAATTTTTATATGTTATGTCCTTGTTATACGCAAAACACAATATGTTTATATATTTTATAAATATACAATATAAAATAAATACTTCTTTAATTAAATATATTATTGGATGATAAAATAATATAAATTATGTATATTTTGATAGCATGTGATATTCAAATCGATGACCAAAATAAAGAACGTAAGATAAAACCTAATTAACTCTTTATTCCAATAAAGAATCCTAGTGTTGTTTTTGGCTATATTAATTAAGAACTTATTAAATATGATAATATAAATATTCAATTATTGAATAACATAATAGTAAAAATAAAGTAAAAAAAATATGTATTTTTTTTTACATACTTCCACAACAGTATCCAATAGCGGATATTATACCTACAAAAGATATTAGAATAATTTTTATTATTAATATTATTATTTATTTTTAATTTTGAACAATTCATTAAATAATTAACAGAGGGAGTCTAGGAAAGCATATACCGCTATTTTAGTGTCTCTTCAATCTTAAAATAAATGTTTTGTTACTAAAAATATATAATATTATTAAAATATATTTTTAAAATTGAAAATTCGTTGATTACAAGTTAACATAAAAATATATATATTAATTTTTATGTATGATAACATATATTATTCCAGGTGATAATCAAATCGAATCACGTAAGTAAAAAATAAATCGAGTTTTTAAATCAATAATAATGAATTTGTAATTTAACAATACTTTATCCTCAATAATTGCTGTAACACACTAAAATGTGATAGATTTAACTGTACAAGAAAATATATTATTTTTCTTTAATTGACAAATAATTGATTATAACGATTTGTATTTTAAAGCATATGATATTCAAGGGGATAACCAAAATGAATACGGTAAGTTAAAACTTAATTAAATCTATATAATTATTAATTAATTAATATATAATTTAAATAATTATCGGTGTTTATCATAGATATTTCAGTAATAATTATTGTTCTAGAGACATGTCTCTAGGTGTTGTACATAGTCACAAATTCAGTATCATTTTTATATGGTTTATATCATTATTATTATAATGATTGTTTACAATAATATAACTTAAACACAATGTAATATTCCATGTTGTTAAACAATAATCAAAAAAAAATTGTATATACAGTAATTCAAATTGAAGTAACAAATGATTATAAAACTCAAATAAATTAATCACAAGGCAAAATACATAAATTGCGAACAGTTCGCTTATAGCTACCATTAAATTTAACGACAGTAACAAGGCGTATTACTCCATCATCTCCAGAGTGTACTTCACTAACTCGTGCCAGGTTCCTTTGTTGGGGTAGCAAGTTTTCATCTTTTACTATAACAATTGAGTTCTCTTTAAGCTCATTGCCCCTGGTTTTCTCCCATTTATTTCTTGATTGAAGTTGCTTCAAATAATCTTTTGGACAAGAAGACCAAATTTTTTGAAGTAAATAACTTACTCTTCTCCATCTACTAAGCCTATTCATAGGCGTGGCTGTTAAATCAGGTTAAGGTAGAGCATGTAATGAAGAACCAATTAAAAAATGGCCTGGAGTCAAAATAGACATATTATTAGGATCAACCGAAATTTTTGTTATTGTGCGCGAGTTCAAGCAGGCTTCCACACGCACTAATAGTGCTTCATACGTTAAAGCTGCATCGCCTACTACACGTTTGATGTGATATTTTGCAAATTTTATACTCGCCTCCCATAGGTCACCAAAATGCAGCGAGGGGGGTGGTATGAAATTCCAACGAATACCGAATTCAGTTACAGCAGGCCGAATATCTCTTTCGAATTGTTCTGATTCAAACAGTTTTCTTAATTCCTGAAGTTTTCTATTTGCGCCAGCAAAATAAGTTACATTATTTGAAAATATTTGAAAACAAAGTCCTCTGCGACTAATGAAGCATTAAAGCGCCTAAAAAACATTCAGTGGTCAAATCGCTAGCTAGTTCAATGTGTCCTTCCTTTGTGGCGAAACATACAAATAGACCAATGTAACCCTTGGTTAAAGGAGCTTTGCGATTACTATTAGACTTAACCATTATTGGACTACCATAATCTATTCTACATAAGAAAAAGCAAGAGTTGACTTACTCTTCTGTCGGCAAGTTTCCCATTATTGGCTGCTGCACAATTGGCTTATAACGGAAACAAATTATACAACAATGAACAACCTTTCTTGCTAAATTACGACCATCAATAATTCAATATTTATCACGTAATGACGACAAAATAGCTTGCCGACCAGCATGAAGTACCTTAAGATGTTCATAACGACACAGTAATAAAGCTAAATGACTGTTGCCTGGAACTAATAGGAGATGATGTTGAAATTTGGTCAAATGTTTTGTATGCTTTAAACGACCACCAATTCTAATTACACTACGACCGTCCAAAAATGGATTGAAATATTTTAATTTACTTTTTACAGAAACAAATTTATTGTTTTGTAATTTTTTTAATAAAGTGTTCGTTTTTAGCTACGAATGCTAATGAAATTGATGCATAATTTAATTCGTCAATCGTTAAAGGACCACTTATGTTTGGGGGTATTTTTTTCTCGACTCATGCGATTGTTTTTAAAACGTAAACACTAAGATACAATTTTTTTTAATTTAAAGTACGATGAATAATTTTCTAATAGATATAACATTAATTGAATACTTAACGAAATTTGAGTTCCTTGATTTATTTCTACTATTTCTTCTGAATAAATTGAATACTTCTCTGACATAGTTGTCCATTGATCGCTATTTAGTAAAAGCCACTGTGGACCCGTCCACCATAAAGTTTTCTTTTGAATTTCACACAAGGGATAACCTCTCGATAATATGTCAGCAGGATTATCACCCGTACTTACATGACGCCATTCCAAAATATCTGTTAGAGTCTGAATTTCTCCTACGCGATGAACCACAAAGATCTTCCACTTGATTGATGGAGATGTAATCCAAGCTAACGTTATAGACAAGTTTGTCCGAAAATATTTACGTGAAACTCTTATGTTTAATTTAAGTACAATTTTATACGCCAAACGAGCTAACAATAAGGCCATACAAAGTTCTAGTATAGGCACTGAAATAGTTTTTTAAGGAGCTACTTTAAATTTAGCGCATATTAACATAACTTTTGCTTCCTTTTTATCGTTAATGGATTTTAAATATAAACAAGCTCCATAGGCCAACGTTGACGAATCAGCCAAACCATGTATTTTATTACAAACAATTTCGCTAGCAACAAATAAATATCGTGGTATAACTAATTGATTTAAATATAGAAATTCATACTATATAATTGCGACATCTAGTTTGTACTTTGTTAGGAAGTCCCAATTAATTTTCATTGTCCATAAATATTGCATTTGTAATTTATAGAATATTATAATGGGTCCAAAAAGATCTAATGGATCATAAATAGAAGCTATTTGTGATAAAATTATGCGTTTAGTAACATATTGAACATTCTGATCAATATTACTTACATTGTATTGATAAATGTCATCCACGGGATTCTATAATAATCCTAGTATTTTGCTTATATTATTTTCTAAATCTAAAGTTAACATATCAATTTGATTATTACCTGCTATGTCTTTAATAAGATCAGGATTATTGGAAATCCATTTACGTAAATCAATACCACATCTACGCTTTATATCGATTAATTGATTATGTAATAGTAGTGTATTTGCTTTTGTAAAAGCACCGCCTAAAAAATCATCTACGCAAAAATCTTCTTTAATTGCTTTATAAGCTAAAGGATAATCAGCAGCCTCGTCGTCAGCTAATTGATCAAGACAGCCAGTTGATAAATATGAAACGGATGTTGTGCTATAGGTGACTGTTTTTAATTATACATCATTATTGGCCAAAATATTTGTTGAAAACATCTGTCTGGCGGATCGATTAGTATCTGTCTGTACATATTGGCTATATCCGACGATTGGGAATATGCATGGGTCCGAAAACGCGCCAAAATTCACACTAGTTCTTGCTGAATGCTTGGACCTTTATATAGTATTTCGATCAAACTAGTTGTTAGCCAACGGGCTCCTACGATAACGGTTGGCCGGTATGACTGGTAATAATCAATACAGAAGAAACAAATGAATTAAACAAATGTATACCCAAATATAAAATAAAAGAGATTGATATTCGTACAATTATTATTTGTATATATTATAGAAAAATATGGTATTTTGTTCTGTTTACATAAATATAATAAATAAATAGTAATAAATATAATGGGCATCCCCAAGTACAAATGTAGCTACAATTAATAAATTAAACTATAAATAAATTTACATACAGTAATATCATAGAATTCAACTCGTTCAATCTACTGATTTGAATGTCTTCCCTGTGGTAGCTTCAACTTTGACAATAATGGTCTAACAATCAAGGAATAAACCGGTGTTCAAGCTTTTATATAATAACTTTAAATTTAATAAGACTACAACTTTTAACTAAGTCTTTCACGGCTCTATTGAATAGGCCGGATAATAGCAATATTGTAACAAAGGGAAAAACACGCGTACGTTGATTACGTAAACGGTATTATAACACAATACAGCGCACAGACACATTAACATATGTCAACCATAGCTAATCACCCGACAGACTGCTTGACCGTGAAAAATGTTTGGCCCGGTGTTGTCAAAGGCCACAGTATATACTTTCACGGTCAAATATTACCACCACTACCTCCGTGTTCAACCGGTACACGTTATCAATACCGACTGATGAGGAGATAACATGTGCTGTTTTGAACACTAGTTTTGCACGAACCAACAAAAACAACTCGCAATTTAGTGATTATGCTGTTTTCCTTTTCGACCGCATGATGCGGAAATACGTATTCATCCTTATCATCGTTGTCCGAGTCATATTAAATACTCACGCATAAAATTTACGTATTTTTCTTTGAATTTTGAATTATATTTAAAACGATGTTCTAACGATTTAAATCGCCATAGCGCTGTTAATCTCGAATTACCCAATGTTGACGGTGGTTCACAAAATGGTAATCTGACAACAAATCTACTATCATCGTTACACCTTACATTTTTTAAAAAATGTCTTTTGCATACATTTTCGTCCAAAGTATATACGTTTTCGCTGGAGCATTCCTCTAAGCGCCAAAATAGTTCGATGTGCTCATTAACCTTTAATACTTGTATGTCGTTTGATACAAATAATGCAAGGCTTGTATTTGTATTATTTTCGTCATAAATGCGACCTGCCACTATCCACCAATATCATGTCAATTTTTTGTGGTGTGGTAAACATAGAATCGTCGAGCTCAATGTCAATTGGTAATTTTAGATTATCTAGGTCAATTGATTTTAAAGGAATGTTATTCGTTAGTATCGATAATACTAAACATTCTAAGTTACTGGAGTAATTTGATAAACGCAACGGTATCTTTAGTGACACTAAATAACTAGCGGTGTATGTGGACAGTTAAATACCAGTAATAGCACAATTGACTCTGCGCCTATAAAATTTAATGTTTGGGCCATACTATCGGTAATAAAATTGCTTTGTGAGCGGTGTCAAGTAGTGCACGGCAGATAACTGGTTCACCATTACAAATATATGCGATAAGTACGGCTATAGATAATAATACCTGTTCGATTTTTTTTCTGAATACATTTGCTCTCATTGATGTACATTGTTGTTCGCTATTATTGATATGGCACTCATTATTATTCTCATTATTATTTTTATTGCCTTTAAAATTATTGAAATACAACAAGGAATTATGCAGTTTTGTCACATTTAATACATTTTTGAGACAAACACTTACTACTAGGATGCTGTCGTAAACAATTTTTGCACAAATTTTAATCATTTACTTTACTTATGCTTTCAGTAATCAAAAGTGATAAAAAATTAGGAAATTTGTAAATTATATGATCGGTTTTACACAAAAAACATTTAATAACATTATTGTTTGTGATCATTGCTGTGGTACGAGTTTGCTCTCTTTTAAAGACACTATCTTTCTTAAATTAATTAAAATTTTTTTGTCCAATATTTATCAACGAAGAAGATTCTACCACTTCCAATATTTTAAAACGTGTAACCAAGAAGTCCATTAATGTAGCTACGGAAGCTACAACCGTTTTGGACGCTTCGGTTTGCCATTCTTTTAATGTCTTTGGATCAAGTTTTGACATTATTAAATGAACTAATAATGAACCCCATAAATTAGGGTCTTGACTGAGAGCTTCTAATGCGTTCATATTATTTATTAAATTATCAAGTAAATATCTTAATTTAAAAGAGGATTCTTTTATCATTGGTTGAATATCAAAAAGCGCTTTTGTATGGGCTTGAGCTAAAATTTTTATTGTTGTATCGATTTATTAATGTTTACCAAGCATAATCATAATTTATATCAGTTATTTCAACCAATTTTATTATGTACGCGGCATTACCACATAGTGAAGATTTCAAATAGAAAAATGTTTGCAATTTTGAAAGTGATGAATTTGAGTGTATAATTGCTATGTACATATCATGAAATGACGACCATTCTGCGTTATCTCCGGAAAAAAAAGTTAATCGGAGCTAATTTTTCAAACGAATGCACCACTTGACTTTTGTAATTCGAATCAATCGATATATTACTCGCGGTAGCGCTATTTTCACCAATGACATCCGAAAGTCTAATCTCTACAGTATTCTTTGTTTTAAAATTTCCATTCATTTTTAATAAGCTTTTCACACCCGGAAACTGCCTCTTAATAAAGTTCCTCAAATTCTGAACGATATTTTTCATTATCGTCCGAGCTTTCTGGAAGTGCGATTTCTATGTCCAGTTGCAGTTTATTAAACTCACACCAAGCACCTTCAGCCCTTTGCGTGCGCACGGACAGCTGATTAACATCCAGTTTCTCTGGCGCTGATTTGATGATATTAATTGTGCGTGTTAGCTGACCTTTGAGCTCTGCACGAGCTATTTTTAGCGTATCATTGGTATTGGCCATTTTAACTATTGGGATTATACGATCGCTCTATTATATATATATATGGGAAAATGCAAACAGGCAATTACAGGAACAGAGCGAAGACGCAATACTATTATTTAATTTATATATATGTATAAATTAATACACAAAAAACTATTAAATGTTAACAAACAAAAATAACACATATATTTAATTACACACGAAAACTCTATATAAAATATTCACACAACACAAAAATATTATATAAAACAGAATACACTTATAAACTAAAGAATATACATAGAGACACGTCTTAGCCTACTCGCGACTTGATTTAATCTCCCTCTATATACTTGATACCACTATCTATCTCCAGACCCTGGAAATGGTGCCATCTAGATACCAATAGTACCCACATATATATATATATATACATAACTTGCAAGTTCCTTGACGGTGGGAACATTAAGTTACCCAAGACAAAATTAGCGACTTAACTTTTTTTTTTTTTAATATGCATAAATTACGAATATGTACAATATGATTCTCTTACCGATGTATTTTGATAAATTCTTCACTAAAATTAAATAATCAAACTTAATTGATCACAACTTAATTAGCTAATTAATAATTACATTTGGAGATAACTTGGTTAATAATTAAACACTCTTTAGAGAAAAATGAAATTAAACACTTAACGATTAGTTGCTTTGATTATAAATAATTAATCAAAACTTGTATACAAAACGATTGATTTGTTACCGGTACACTAAGCACTTTGACGAAATAAACGATATAGGAACAACAAAACGATGCAAACGAAATCAAACTATACGCAAACGATTATATTTTAATAACGCTAACCGGAACGAAATGGACCAATGTTTTGACTTCGATGTAGACTGAAAACCCTGTAGAATAAAAAATATAAACGAACGACGATAATTGTTTATAATTTGCTTTATGATTCATTTTATTAAAATATAATAATTGTTTACGATTATTATAACAGTGCGGTGATGATCGAACGAGAGAAAATTGACAATTGACTAAAAAACCCAAATACAACAATACGTTTACAGCGCGTTATCAACAATGTATATATATAAACCGAACATAATTTATTACATTTTTTTTAGAAAGATGCTCTATCTGTTATGACAATAATCAAGATACGCCTATAGGAGAATGTGAACATAAATTTTGCATAAATTGTATAGATCATTGGAAATTTAATAAGAGAACCTACCGTTGTCCTTTGTGCAATCATGTATACGATAACCTTGACTTTATAGGTATATTAATAATTTTTAACAATATAAAGATAAATTTTAAAATAATTTATTTTTATATTAAGGCTAACAAATTAATTTTATATATTATTTATAGTTAATTATTTTCGTTAAAATAATATTATTACATTTGCAGAGTTTTTGTGGTAAAATTCATTTATAATATACAAACACAGATTACTAATTAATTTTATACGACAGATATGCTTTTTGAATTGTCTTTTGTTATTTTTATAAATATGAACTCACAGCATTATGTCCATGACGTATTTAGGGAGGTATTGGTCGCGAATATTTTGTATGGCAGTTATCAAGGATGACACTGAAATATTATACTATATAAATTATAAAGTTGAAAATCTTTTAAGATTTTTAAGAGGCGCATTTTAAGATTTATTCAATAAATTGATATGAGTTTATAACATATTACAAGTTATATCCATTGGATAATACTAATAAATAATGATAAAAATGTTTTATTAGTTCACGATTTTTCAATAATTGTCAAAAGTACACTGTGTATTATAGTTTTGTGTATATTAAAAATATCATACTGGTGTATGTCAATTTTGGATAACCTTAAAAAAACCCAGCACTGAGGAATCGCGCCACAGTGATGACGTGGCATAGTTGGATCAAGTATAATGATATCTGACAGTGATTAAAATCACTATCAAAAAAAACGCTTCAATGCAAATCTTTAGATAGTGTTTAATTTTAAAAAATTGGTGGATTATTCCAAAAGCTTCATAAACTGCTAGTTCCTTATTAATATCCTGATTAAGATAAAGTATGTCGAATGAAAAAGGGATTATTAAAAAATAGTATTTCCCATAAAAAAATTATATTGATCAATACACTTTTCAATAAGTTATAGCATTATAAAGTTAAAAATGTAAAAAATAAAATTGAGAATTTTCACACAATAATAGCATTTGGTAGCCATTTTCACCGTGAAGACAAAATAAAGTCCAAAATTTTTTTTTTGCATAATAAATTAAATTACATTAGCTTTAATTTAATATATATAGAAAAGTGTCAGACTTTCCGGAACACTTTCAAAATTTAAGTTGAAAAAGTAAATTTTTTGTGAAAAAGTTGTCATTTTGAATCCCCCCCTGTAGGCAGGTAAAAAGTCAGATTTATAAAAAAAATATACCAAATGAAAGGTAATGATATCATGCATCTATATAAAAAAGAATTATATTGATATGTTCATTTTTGAAAAAGTTATGGCACTTTTAAGTAAAAAAAAATTGAAAAAATTTCGAAAATTAGCGATTTTTAAATTTGTAATTTTTTTGGAGGTTTCCCCCATTTACAGGGAACGAGGGAAATTTTTTCAATTTTTGAGGGTAATGTCTTCGATTAGATACGATTTGTGATCTTTTGACGTATCGTTGAAAGAAATCGGTTCGGTGATAGCTAAGAAAAAAAAACACATCATAGTAAAACCAATACCTTCTCAGCTTCTCATTGAAGCTAAAATATACAGAGATCTCTGTACAAAAAGTATTTTTTGGGTAGTTTTGTGGTAGATTATCAAAATATATATAAATTTCATTTATATAAGTTCGTACAAATAGAATTAAACATAAAATATATATATTTTTTTTTTTAGATAATGAATTGTCTGCAAATTTGAGAAGTAAATAATAGTTTGATTGATTTATATCCACGGGATGTTAATATATGAAGGGTACAGGGAAAAAACCGACTAAGTCACTTTTTTTTTAAACAGAGTTAATGCAACTTTTATTTTTAAAACGCAATTACAATTAAACAATCAACTGAAATTAAGTACTGCAGTGACTTANTAGTGTATAGAAATTACTTCTAGTAATTTAACAAGCTAATAAAAAATTGTTTATTTTTATTAAACTTTGGACATATTTTATTCAATGATATCTAATGTAAATTATTTTTTTCTTCTGCATTAATTGTAAAGTAATTATTAATGATTATTTAATTTTATATAATAATGTTATGTTTGAATAAAATATCTAATTAAGTCCATTTATTAATCACGCCTAATGAGATTAAAATTTAACTTACTTAATTTAACAAACTAAAGTATGTTCGTTGACTAACAATAAATAAGAAAAAAGAAAGTTAATTGTTTTAAGTTTACTGGGTTATAATTTTATAAGGACCATAGATTTAAATATAAAGCTATAATAATTTTAAAATAAAAAAAATATATATGCTTTTTTTATAGTATCATTGTTTTAAGACTTTTTATACAAGAATTTCAATTAAATTAAGTTTTTCAAATTTTTGGTGCTGATACTTAAACTAGATTAAAAAATTTTTTGGAGTTAAAAATTTTTGAACATATAAGATTGTAAAAAAAATTATAAAATATATTTTTTTAGTTAATAATTTGAGACAAGTTCAAAGATGTAAGTAATAATTTAATCAATTTATTAGCACTGTATAGCATTTTATTTAACTTATTTTTTATTTAGATATCTATATGTTTGCTGGGACTCTTGGTAAGAGGAGAAAATGTATTTAATATATTTAGAGTTTGTTAATTATATCTCAATATAATTTCAATTTAAATACTAATTTTTCATACATAAAATTTGAAAAAGTAACATTTGAGAATAACATATCTATGTTTTAAATTTATTGTTTTACATTATCAATATATATAACCTTTATTTATAGTTAATGCATAAGATAAAATATACGATATTCTTGAAAATATGAAAAACTGACGATTATCTTTACATACTTTTAAATATTTATAAAACATTTATAATAAATGTTTTCTAAACATTTAAGTTTTATTGGGGTATTAGTTTTTGACCACACTTGTATTAATTGATTAGAACACAGATTAGCACTAATAGATATTGGGTTTTTGGCCACACTTTGAAAATATAAAAAATGAGCTAGAACAGAACCTTTTGATGGAAGCTGTTGACGAATAATATTTTTTTTTGGCGTAATCATAAGGCGATGAGTTATAGTCTTTGGAGTTTTGGAATTTTCCATTATACACTAAAATTAAATTGGACATAAATTTTATTATAAATTTATTTTATAATTGCCGTCTAATGAAATTCAATAAATTGATTAATTTTTAAATTGAAATGACCTTTTACGAAAAAAAAATGAAATGTTAAGGCCTAAATTACAATTTATTTTAAAACTGTATCAGATTTATATAATTATATTTTTATAAGTTATAATTATATCAAAAATTAATTTTATTACAACTATATGTGAGTTATTTTTCCTTATCTAATATTATTATGACCACTGGAAATAAAATTATGATTAAAAATTATTTAAATAAAACGTTCAATAGAGTACTATTAAAATATTGTAAACTTGTGACTTCACAAAGGTTTGCTGATCACAACTGATAGATGTTAAATTCACATTAGATGAAATTCTATAACATTATTCTACATTTTTCAAAATTACAGATAGCATAATCTTTAGTATAATAAGATATGATAAAGCGATATAGTTACGGTACTTGAAGAAATATGAATCTTTAACGAACGAGTTATCAATAAAACCCAATATGAATTATTTTCTTTTTCATAATTTTAATTAAATTTATATTGATGTATAATATTATTATAATATAAAACAGTATTCTTATAACATTTAATAAAAATGAATTGTTTAATTAAAAAAAAAATATTTGAAAAGTATGTAAAGAACAAACGTCAGTTATTCATATTTTCAAGAATATCGTATATTTTAGTTTATGCATTAATTACAAAAAAAGGTATAAGTTTTTAAGATTAGTGAAGAATTTTTTTTTACTTATAATATACATAAATATCAGCCAAACTGCATAAAAAAAAAAAATAAAAAAAACTTTAAGCTTACTTGAGACCTACTATAAATATACCCTATAATGGCGCTAATTATGATATTCACGCTATCAATTTTCGTCTTAAAATTTTGAAACTGAAAAATTTGTATTCTAAAATAAAAATCAAACTGTTTTGATATACTTATCATAATATTTGACCAAAAATTGAATAACAGAGACCATTTTTTGTTTTTTGGTCAAAATACTAAAAACGTGTTGAGCTACCAGTAAAATTTTTTTTAAAAATCTCAAATTTTCACAAAATGTCTATTTTAATGTATAAAATAAATTTAAAATGGTTCTCATTAAAATTTCGAAGATCGACTTTCATTTATGCATACAGAATAAGTTACATAGAATACACTGCTTACATAGTATTTTTTTATACTAGATTAGATAGAAATTCTCTTGTTTTTTAGCTTCAATCCAACATTAAGAAGGTATTAATTTTACCATGATGTGTATATTTTTTTTTTTTTGTGTCTGTCACTCTTTTTTTTCAGCTCTCAATGGACCAATTTTTCTTAACGATACATCAAAAGATCACAAATCGTATCTCACTTAAGATATTATCATCAACAATTGAACATTTTACCCTTATTTCCTGTAAATAGTGAGAATCCCCCAAATTTTTTTTAAATCAGTATATTTCATCATTTTTTAAACTTTTTTTTTTTTAAATTGCCTTAACTTATTGAAAAATAAACAAATCAAAATAATTCTTTTTTATTTTGAAACTATACATATTTCTCTTCCATTTGATATCAATTTATTGAAAATTTGGCACGTAATCTGCCTACAGAGGGGATTCCAAATAACAACTTCTACAGAAAAATTAAACTTTTTTACCTCAAGTTTTGATAATTAATTTTAACATTTAATCATTGCCCGTTGGAATGATTTTTTTGCAATTTTTCTTTAATCTTTTTGAGTTAGAATTTTGCATTTGGAATAATCCACCAATTTCAACTATACCAATATCACACTATGCTACGAGACCACTATGCTACCGTTTTTAAGCATAAACTTACAAAATCAGTTTAGAATTTACATGGATAAATAACTAAAGAATAACATAATTGATAAACCAGTACCTTCTCATATTCCGTTTCGTTACAATAATCCTATCCGTTTATACAAGTTTAATTACATTTAAATTAGCCAGTATTTTCAAAATCTAAGAATGGAAAAGGTTATCAATATTCTTTAAATAAAAATTTACTTTTTAGGCAGTTTTTTCATGTGATATTCAAAATTATTAAAAACATATAATTAAACATATATTGTATTTTTTTTTTTTTAGTAAATATCTTGTCCGCAGCTATAAGAAGTAAATTATAATTTAATTTATATCTACTTGATATTACTAAAAGTATATTATTTTGAATTATTTGTTATTTAGATACCAACACGACTACAGTTTTTACTGGTAAGATGAGAAAATTATATTATTATACATGGAATTCGTTATTCAGATTTTGATGAGGCTTTAAGTTAGACGCTAATTTTTCTTATAAATTTTTTTGCTCAAAAAATTTCCAATTACACGTACAATTTTTCATAGTGGAAAAATACATCTTCATTGGATTTTAATACTGAGCATAACAAAGGAATGTTTATTGTCATTAGTTAAAATTTTATTTAGACCAAAGATTTAAAAATACTGTTATAGTAAAATTAAAATGAAAAAAAAAGTTTGAATTTTTTTTAGTAGAACAACTTTTTGATATTAAAACTCTATTCTAATATTACTCTATTATAGTACTCTATTGTAAATTAGAAATTGAATGTATATTTTCAAATTATTGGTGCCGATATTAGCTATATTTAAAGAATGAAAAAACGTTATAAAAAATTAATTTTTAGGCAGGTTTTTCATGAGATATTTAAACAAATTACGTATATTCATTTGAAATGTTGAATATATAAGTTAAAAAAAAATACAAATCAACATAAAATGTATTTTTTTCAGCTAATGATTTGAGCGAAGCTATAAGAAGTAAATAACAATTTAATGGATTTATATGTACTGGATAATACTAAAAATATTTTATTATTTAGATATCAATATACGTTCAGGTTTTACTGGTAAGAGGGGAAAATGTTATTAATTCACATAGAATTTGTTATTTAGATCATGTTCGACGCTAAATTTTCCTACATAAAATTTAATTATAAAACGTTTGAGAATAACGAATTATAATTTTTTAAAGTACTATGTTACTTAATTAATAAATATTGCATTTCTTTCAATCTATTCTAGTATTCCGAATAGGTTTCAACATAGCTTATTCATTGTTTTTTTATACTTAATTAGATGGAATTTATCGAGTTTTGAGTAAGTTTTTAACTTAAGTTGAAGATTATACATTCAAAATGTTTAAGTATGCGATCGCACATATAAAGATACAATAATAAATTTTTTTTTAGTGAATGACCTGGCCGAAGCTATAAGAAGTATACAGTATTTATATATATAACTAAATACTAGAAATTACTAAACGTAAATTATTTTAACCTATTTATTATTTAGATATCAATACGACTANATAAAGCACATATAAAGATACAATAATAAATTTTTTTTTAGTGAATGACCTGGCCGAAGCTATAAGAAGTATACATTATTTATATATATAACTAAATACTAGAAATTACTAAACGTAAATTATTTTAACCTATTTATTATTTAGATATCAATACGACTATAGATTATATTGGTAAAAATTGGAAATTTTTTTAATATATATATAGAATATGTTGTATTTGGTGTTAATTTAGAGGCTAATTTTTTTATACGTAAAATATAAAAATAAGTTATGTTTAATAAGTAATGTTTTAAGTTATAAATTAATATAGCATATCTATTTCACCTATTCTTTAGTATTATATAGAATAGGTTTAAACTTATGTGATGGTGTCACGTTACCATTGTTGTGAGAATTATTTTAATAAAATACAGACAGCACATCCGCTTCCTGAGACGATGAATTAACAAATAATATTTATTGCCAAATTGGCAATATTTCAAATTATTATGAAAACCCAATAGACCTGACCATCGTGGTCAGTCGACTCCAGTTCCTTGTGTCATTCATCAGTCTCAGTTCTCGGTTGTCGCTGTCCGGCTTACTGCTTAAAGTAAAGTCTCTGTATATTCCTTTTTAAACCTATCTACTCTCTTCCACAACATTTCAGAGTACTTTTGTCTTGCACTTCGTCTGAACCTCATACTTTGTTATACTCCTTATCTGGTACGTCCAGTATTTGTGTCTTGCACTTCGTCTGCACCTCATACCTAGGTGTTACCCTGATTCCCTTCCTATAACAACAGCCTTTCGACACCCACAACTAACCCGGAGTGTCAGCCGAGTACGGTGACTGCTGTNACTAACCCGGAGTGTCAGCCGAGTACGGTGACTGCTGTAGGACAACACGCACGTGAATACCTAGACAGCAGACACCACATCCTCATATTCATCTTCGTATCACAATTACTTTTACATTGTTTCATTTATTTTATTGTGTTACAACACTTAGCTTGTTCTTTTGTTAAGCTTCGAACTTGTTTAGATGGTAATTCTGTAGTTACGAGTAAGCAATTAACTAAAGAACTTCAAATACTATAAGTAGGGTAATTTGGAGAGAGCTGGATCCCCCCCGCCTCACCCACTCACCTTCCTTGCGGTGGAGGAAGTGTACGGGGGG